GTTTTTTTTACCACTGTATCTGTGCTGGTGTCTTTCTGCCATGTTTAGGAGCTGGCGCTTCTGGAGGTGGTGACTCTGAGAAAAAAGAAAAGCCGCAAAAAGGGGGAAATGCAGTTAAGGTACAGTGGCACCGTTGAACTTTGTGTCAGACATTTGTAAAGTTTTTCATCTCCAGTGGGGCATTAAAATGGACTATTATAACTCGGTGTTTACCTCCCTAGCGTCAAATTGCCAAAAAGCATCCAACTTTGTTAACAATGGAATGCTTCAAGAATAATCTTACGATTATGAAATCTTGTGCAACGTTGAATAAATATCTTACGAAACACTTCATGGGATCTTGTGATAGTGTTTTCAGATGTTTGTATTGGGAAAGCCGATTGGCAGTATAATACCAAAAAGAATTCCCTTTCTGTACTTTTCTAAAGTTTACTGTAGTTTGCATGTTGATCCCCTCTCTCACACACACACACTTATAATTTATTTCAGGTCCGACATATTCTTTGTGAAAAACACAGCAAATCAATGGAGGCCATGGAAAAACTGAAGTCTGGGGTGCGGTTCAGTGAAGTCGCCTCACAATACAGTGAAGACAAAGCGAGACAAGGAGTAAGTGAGAAATGCATCTAGATGAGACGGGCTAAAACAAATGACAGATTAGAATACCTGTAGACAGCAACAGAGTTCAGATTTTCAAGTTTCAGATTTTTTTTGAACAATTAAATGCTTACTTTATGTGTGTTTCCACACATAACAGATGGCATCTGAAATTGTTGGAGACCAGAACATAAAAAAATAGCATGTACGCCAAAAAGATAGTGGAAAGCTGCAGTGTAAAATACCAGTAGCAGCCGTATACATGAGAAAAGTAACAACTGTAATTTTCAGCAGCATTCAATTAGTAGTAATATGCAAAAAACAGGTAGTGACAGTGTTGTGAGTTCAGTCCAAAAATAAAGGGCTATAAATGGGAAGTAGGAGAATTAAGGGGTGGTATTAAGAAATCTTATGGCCGAGAAAGACGTTTTCTTTAAAACTTGAGGTTTGGGCTTTTATACTCCTCAATCTTTTGCCACAAGATAGAAGAAATGGCATGCCCAGGGTGGTGTTGATCTTTAATTCTATTATCTGCCATTCTGAGGCAGTGTGTACTGAAGATGGGATGAATGGAGAGGAGTTCCATTCTGTAGCTTTTTTATGGTTGTGTTCTGACCAATTACCATAACAAACTGTAATGCATCTGGTGAACATGCTTTCTCTGTTGTACATTTGTGAGTGATTGTGAAGACATACCAAATCTCCGGAGTTGTCTAAGGAAATAGAGGTGCTGGTGTGCTTTTGTGATAACTTCGTCTGTGTCACGGGACCAAGTCAGATTATTGATGAAGTGAATGCCCAAAAACTTGATGCTGCTGACCATCTCCAAAGCAGCTGTGTTTATATAGTGTGGCCTCCTCTCTGCTTGCCTAACCTAAGAGGATAGAATGCCCTTAGATTATAATAGTATAGAAAGAACAGCACATAGATTATAATCCCTAACTGAAATAATAAAATCACACATACCTTTGCTACTATATGTGAAAGTACCAAATTAATAAATAGTTTTGCAGTCCATGAACATTATATTTAGTAATTTGTTTTATCCCAACCCCTTCTGCACAAAAAAAGTAAGCATGACTAATTAAAGGCTTTATTCACTGCACTTTTTGTAACTGGTCTTTTATTAGTCATTGCCTCACACCGCCACTATAAGAGTCTAATGCTAACTTCCCTTCAGTGCATGGGAGATGTTAATTTTTTAAAATTAATGTATTAAACATGGCTAATTTAATATGAACCAGATTCGGTACGTTCAAGTCACTTCTCAGAAGTGGGCCAATTCCACCATACACTCTAAAGAAAGAAAGGTGAAGTCAGTTAAATTGAATGGTTCTCAAATTTTGGAACAGTATCTTATTTAGGGTGAAAAACATGTAGATGTAGGAGACCAAGACATTTCTTCACTGTGGATGAGTAATGGGTGAAATGTTTGGAAGAACCGTAGTGTCAGGTGTTGTGCTGAAATTTGTGTACTGTGAATTTAAGAATCAATATTGAAGCTTTTCATATCCAGTTCTCACTCCAAAAATAATTTCCATTGTGAGCTCTGTTTATTTACAGTGTGGCAGCATTCTCAATACTGGCTGTTCAGATGTGCAATAACCAGCTCTTAGTTTCTTATCCCTTTAGTTGCCTCATTGAAAATGTCTTTGCTTACCTAATATACCTGTACACAACAGTCTGGTAAAAATCATCTTGTAAATTATTATTGGTGAAATTGCAAAAGGAAACAAAAACTGAAAAAAGAAAGCCGTTTTACAAACTACAGATTAAAAAAGTCATACTGATCCCTTTTTGTTGTGAGGATGAAGCAGAGTCTTCACAGAATTCGCTTGGTCTTTCCTATTGATGGGGTTGTATGAGCAGTAAATGTGCAGAGCACATGATGGAATTGAGACTCCCATATACACTAGTAAAAGCTGAATAGACATTGTCCCATTTACATATAGATAAGTGATGTTGTAAATACTGGTTTTTATTCACACTTTTGGTCACTGGATGGTGTATTTTCTCAATTTTATTATCTTCTCAATTGTATACAGTACTACAGTATTTTAGTGTTAAATTTACATGAATAAAAATCTCGTATATTATGGTAAATTATGAATAGCAGTAGCCATTAACATTGTTTCAACGTCTCTATACCTTAGAATCGCTTTCACATAATGTTATGGACACAGTTTATGTTGCTCCTGTATAATTTACATATTCTTGTTTTTTCTTTGTTACATTTTTGGTAGGTACAGTATAATCATGGTCCTGTGTTTGCAGTGCAGATTACTGACAGTTTTCTAAGTTGAGCTTTTTGGTTAGGAATTCTGTCCAGTTGTACAATAAATGCTGAGCTGGTCTTTCCTCTGGGTGTGACAGGGGGACTTGGGCTGGATGACCAGAGGCTCTATGGTTGGGCCTTTTCAAGATGCAGCTTTTGCCCTGCCGGTCAGCACCATGGACAAGCCTGTGTACACAGATCCGCCAGTGAAGACCAAGTTTGGGTATCACATCATCATGGTGGAGGCCAAGAAATAACGCTTCAGGATTTGAAGAATCAAGCTGGGCATCATCCCCTTGTTTTTTAAAACATTATTTATTTTTGGGAGAGGAGTTCAGAACTCATAGAGATACTGCTTGTTTGATGTAGAAATCTTAATACCATCATAAAACTCTCAAGAAGTGGTTACATGCAAGCATCACGATGAGGAAAACGTTCATAGCTGTTAAAAAACACAATCTGCTTTGATTTCATATGCAATTGTAAAACACTTTGGATACATAAAGAAAATGAGTGTGGGTAGGTATTGATTTGGAAAATAAAATCCCAGTAAATTCACTGCTCTTTTCTTGTACCAGATTGATTTTGAATGGGAAAAGGTGACTGTGTTCTTTGTGCATAAAATAAGCATAAAATGGGAGGACTTTTGTGACAAATAAAAATAGTTTTGCACTTAGCTGCACTTCATATAACAGTAAAAAAAAACAGCTTGTGTAGATTTTCCATGACTTTCTTCGTCCTGTTAAGAAACAACTCCTGGAATGTTTTGGGAAAATTTTTTATATCTATTTTGTATAGTGCTCTCCTTGATGTCTTGAGAGGGCAGCAAGATCAAAACTTGTTTTTGCTTTAGAGTCAAACAGTTTTTTTTTTTTACCTTGGGATTAAAATGAAAGAAAAGTACAATGTATGTTTTATTATTGGGTAATTCCATGCATACATTTGATTTATTGGAACAAATACATATAATACCTCAGTTCTGGGGGACCATAAGTAGTGTATGGAGACACATTCACTTTAAGTAATATTTAGAGTGAAGGTCAGTATTGGATTGCATATTCGTGTTAGTACTTCATTACGAGCAACATCACTTATAACATGTTTAATTATCTTTTATAGTAACATAGAAAAATCAGACATTAGAGGCTACATTTTGATATGATATGACTACATATTCATATTCTGTATTAGTTCTTATGAAATCTGCCTTTTAAGATATTTGAGTATTTTATTAAAGTTATTACTTCTTGGGAACTTTAAAACCTGTTCTGACTTTTTTTGTCAACAACAATATTTTTTTTGTTTTAATGTATCTTTATTGGGATTTTTGCAACAGTAATCTTTTTAAATAAAACATGGACCAGATATATAATATGGTCTAATATATAAATCACTACTTTTTATGGTGTAATGATAGTTTGTGGTGTAATGATAGTTTCCAAGAGAAACATTACTTAATATTGTGCATTAAAGAGAGGCTATTAAATAGTTTTTGTTTTACTACATACTACTTATGCGACGTGCATACTATGGAGGTACGTATTCATAAAGATAAAAGGGAAAGCAGATGTGTCTAACATATAATTAATAATTGCTTACACTTATATAGTGCTTTTTCTGGACACTCCACTCAAACTCCACTCAAAGCGCTTTACAGGTAATGGAGACTCCCCTCCACCACCACCAATATGCAGCATCCACCTGGATGATGCGATGGCAGCCATAGTGCGCCACAACGCTCACCACACATTAGCTATCAGTGGGGAGGAGAACAAGTAATAAAGCCAAGTCAAAGATGTGGATTATTAGGAGGCCATGATTGATAAGACCAATTGGAAATTTGACCGGGGTTACACCCCTACTCTTTTCAAGAAACCCCTGGGATTTTTAATGACCACAAACAGTCAGGACCTCGGTTTTACATCTCATCTGAAGGACAGCGCCTGTTTACAGTATAGTGTCCCCATCACTATACTGGGGCATTCCGACCCACATGGACCGCAGGGTGAGCACCCCCTGCTGGCCCCACTAACACCTCTTCCAGCAGCAACCGTAGTTTTTTCCAGGAGGTCTCCTATCCAGGTACTGACCAGGCTCACACCTGCTTACCTTCAGTGGGTTGCCAGTTGTGAGTTGCAGAGTGTTAAGGCTACTGGCTAAACTTAAGCTCCTTATGTGAATTACATAATGGAGGAAGAAATCGAGTTTACGCATCATACAAAAATGAGCTTCGTCTGATTTTATGGGAGCTCTTGTCTGCTGCATTTTGGTAAACATACGGTTAACTGTGCGTTTGTACCAAGTTTCTCTGCCTTTCATGGATCTGGGTCACTTGCAGAAATAAAGAGATTTTCGTTAATCTTTTAACGTCGTTTTATATTTTATAAGCGCGTGAAGAGAAACAGTTTAGTGAGAGATGAAAAATGAGGTGCAAAAATCCGAGAGCTCTTTTCATGAAAGAAAGCTCCTCCAAAACGCATTTATTCTGCATTTCACGTTACCGCCTCCTGCAATGCTTTAAAAAAAAGGTTAGCGACGCTCGTTGAAGGTGTGGCCATTATGTCAGCGGCTATTGGCTACAAAAGGATGGAGTCAGATGACGTCCTATTTCCGGGTTTTCTCCGGAAGGTGAGAGGTTACTTTCGGTCAAACATTTCTTCGTTCAGAGAAAGAAGCAGCTCTTGGCCGGCGTGTCACAGGTAAGAATTAAAGCCGGCTGTCACTAACGCTCTCGTTAGTTTTACTACTGTCATGGCTAGTTACTGTGTATTTGCTGTATTAGCCTAATATACCTAACTGTCAACAATATTTAATATATCCGAAAAGCTAAGCGAAAGTTATCTCACGCCTTTACATTAAAAACATCCAGTAGTCCTAACGTGCTTGCCTCATGAGGAAGCAAAACGTGTCCGTAACTGTACTAGTTCCTCTTGTGTGCTGGGACGTGTCTACAGCGAGAACTAACGTGTTTTAGCGATTAGACAGGTAGGTCATATCTTGACTGGCTTTGTGAAATAAATAAAACGAAAGTGATGGGAGCACTTAGTTAAACCCGATTTACCAAAACTAGTTGTATGCGTCTCTCTTAATGTGATTTTCGCTTCCGTGATGTATTTCCATCATTAGCCGCTGCAAGAAGAAAAAGCGCCACGTTAAGAATAACATACCGGAAGCATGATCAGGACCTCGCCTCTGGCAAGAGAAGCGTGACAGTTTCAAAATAATCAATGCTGTCCGCGCAGTAGTCTGAAATTAATAGTTAGACAGGTGATTGTTGTCCACGCATTGTTTTCTAACGCTCATAGCTGTAGATAGCTCTAGGGGATCAGAATACGGTACCCAACAGAAGTGATAGTGTTTGCCCTATAATGTTTTATTCATCTAAACGGTCGTGATGAAAAGGAAATAGATTTTATCGAGAATTGTAAGGAATCGGTAGCTTGATTCGAATTTTTTACGGGTTTTTCTTGGGGAAAAAGGTGACCATTGTTGATCTTAAATGAAATCTTTGGTATGTTAATGAGCGAAGACGATCTGTAAAGACAGTGTTACCAGATAGTTTTACCCTTTATCTTGCGTGCATCAAGTGACACCGGGTCCAGTCTGCGATGTAGGTGATAGCCATATTTGAATCCCTTTTTTTGTGTTCTATAATATAGTCGGATTAGGAATATTGAGTCAAGAAACGTCGCTTTCCTGTCGGTAAACACCGTTTTCCTGTAAAAAGAACCCTTAAAATGAGTTGATTGGAATTTGTTTTATAACGCTTTCGATTAAAAATTAATCTCCTGCGTGAAGTTAATACTTTGCCCTTAGATCTCGGAAAACACACGTCATGTGAAGGTCTATCATGGTACAGTTTGGCAATGCTCTTGTTTTAGATCTAGTTCGACTTCATATAAAGGGGAAACTAATGACTAAAGACAGAAAAGCCTTTCAAAGACCATGCAAACTCTAAGATAAACTGTAAGAGTTTTTTTAAAAAAAGACAAGTACTACGGCGGCCTGATCAAGCGCCATTAATTTCGAGACGTATGAGACAGCTCTCCTTGTCACAAACCCACCCCCTACGTTTAAATTAAAAGCAGATCAATTTACGAATGACAGTTGCTGTCAGACAGAGCTACCCTATCAGTTGTTAGTTGTTAGCTGTTAGCTGAATCCAGCAGCACAGTAACAGAACGAAGACATCCGACGATGTCGTTTCTATAGTGACGATGGGGCGCATGTGGGGTTACCTTATTAAAAATAGAACAGATGGCTCGGAAATATGTTTAACGAGCGGTAGTTAAAACCCTGTTCTTTTTTCAGATTTTTGACATTGTTTTCGTTAATGCTTTTCCAAATGTCAGCGGACCTTTGATATACTATACTCGATAAGAAACAAAAATCATATATCCGTCAGTTTGTATACAATGTATAGTCCCTTACGACTGGCGTTTATTGGAAGCGTTTTACTACTGTTTCTTGCTTTTCTGAGTCGGGAGTCAACGAGTTCATTCCCCCTAGCCACCCACCCCCACAACGAGCTGAGGTTACTTTCGGTTAAGGGTTGCGTGTAAAAAGGGAGGGAGGGAGGGACCTGTGACGTCATGCACGCTTTTGGCTGGTTGGTTCTGGGTGTATGGTGTGTTCGGCGGTGACATTGCTGACGTCAGCGGCAAGACCTCATCTTCCTTTTGGATTTTATTTATTAGGCCAACATCTTCTATTGTTGTAACAGTGGGTTATCAAATAGCTTTTCAAATATCTTGTGACTTTTTCATCACGTTGTTTTGTTGTTGTTGTTGTTTTTTTGTCGTGGACTTCCTAGATTCTTTAATTCTTAGGAGGGTACGAGCTTTCTCAGTATACACGCTAATCTATGCTAATATAATCTCCTTTCTGCTGATTTTACAAATTTTCCCAATTAAACCCATTTGCTTTAAGACCAGGACAGTAACTATGAGGGTTCTGGTCTGTTCATGGGAACGGAAATAATTTCCAACTCATAACTATATTAAAATAATAACATTCATGATAGACCAATGCCACTTACATCATTATAGTAAAACAAATGTAATTATTTTAATTGAATATATGTAGTAGAAAATAGGCATGTTTTTAATAAAAAATAATGCAGACAGGGAGTTGCTATACAGGTACATAAACCTCCTTCATTATCTGTAGCACTTTATTTGTAGGAAATTTAGGGTGATCTAAATATGTTTCTTTTGCATGGTAGTAAAACCTTTGCTGGTAATGTTTTGAACAATCAGCCTTTTAGTGTGTAGTGAGATTCAGGCATCATTGAACAGCATGGATGCAGACTTAGTGCAATCAGTTGTAAACTAGCTAGTAATGTTATTGTTGACCATATAAATCAACAATTAAATAATTTCTGTGGATGTTTCCTGATAAGAGAGCTGCGGGGGAAAAGAAGGTTGCTTTTCGGTCTAGAAAGACTAGCATTGATAATCTGCCTAACGTTTCTGGAGCTGTCGCCTTATTTCCACCTGTTGTGACACAGCAGCTGCTCAGAGTGGTGTGAGCCACGAGCTCCAATATAATTGGCTACTTCAGATAGTACAGTGCTGCAGAGAAATAAGAGATGGTGTGCTATTGATTACTCAGATTACATATGAGACCTTATATTGAAATAGGATGGGATATATTTTCAGACATAGGGATCTGTTCTTGGAGGTGATGGAGTTGCAGTACATTGGCTGTTTTATTGCTCGTTCTGGCTAAGGGAGATAAAAAGATCCCTGCTTAAACTCTAAAGGCACAGTTATGCCCTTGCTGTGCTTTTCCACATATATTTAGGACCCAATGCCTGAATTAAATCATATCTTTAACTTGTCCAGCACTCTCAAATGACAAAACATAGGCTTGATGATGGGCTTGGTTTACCTGAGACGT